GTGCGTGGCTGAAGTGTGCTTCTGCGGTGCGGATTGTTGTCGTGATTTGTTGTCGTCGTCCCGCCCGCGATCCGGCCAACGACCCACCCGCGACCCACCCGCGACCCACCCCGCGACCCACCCGCGACTCACCTGCGACCAACCCGCGACCCATCCCGCGACCCACCCCGCGACCCGCCCGCGACCCAGCCGCGACCCACCGCGCAACCCGCTCGCGACCCACCCACCCACCCGCGACCCACGCGCGACCCACCGTGCAATCCACCCGCAACCCACCCGCGACCCACCCCGCGACCCGCCCGCGACCCACCCCGCGCCCCACCCGCGACCCGCCAACGACCCACCCCGCGACCCACCCGCGACTCGCCCGCGACCCACCCGCGACCCACCCCGCGCCCGCCCCCTCACTCTTATCCGCCGCTGCGGCGTGCTAATGTATTCGATGGGCTGCAGTCTGCTTTCGGCCGAGTGGTTCCAGGTTCTTCGAGGGGAGCGCCGGCATCTTGGGTCTGGTTATAGGTTCTTCAAGCGGGCCTCTGTTCTTCAAACAGGTTTGCAAACGCGCTTCAACTGCTGCATCGTATTCCACAGCGTCGAAATATCTGGTCCAGCATGTGCCTTCAAAGGTTGTTGGAATCTTCTCGTTTCGTTCGTTCCCTCCGCCCGCATGGTGTCATCGTTGACATGTCTTGCGTGGCCGTAGCGATTCGGAAGTCGTCGCGCGGTGGTAGCTTGCCACGTGAAGCTCGCGCTAAGGAGGAGCAGCTGCTGGGGAAACCCGTCGAGGAGCACACGAGGGAGGAAGACGGAGAGGATGCGCCGCTGCCGCCGCCGCCACCGCCACCGCCTCCGCCGCCGCCGCCGCCGCCGCCGCCGTCGTCGTCGTCGTCGTCGTCGTCGTCGTCGTCGTCGTCGTCGTCGTCGTCGTCGTCGTCGTCGTCGTCGTTGTCGCCGCCGTCGTCGTCGTCGTCGTCGTCGACGTCGTCTTCGTTTTTGTTTTCGTTTTCGTCGTCGTCTTCGTCTTCGTCTTCTTTTTCGTCTTCGTCTTTATCGTCTGCGCCTTCGTCGCCGCAGCGGCCGTCGTCGTCGTCGTCGTCGTCGTCGTCGTCGTCGTCGTCGTCGTCGTCGTCGTCGCCGTGCCGTCGTTTTCATCGTCGTCGCCGTCGTCGTCGTCGTCGTTGTCGTCGTCGTATCTGCTACTAGTTTTTTTCCAGTGAGCAGCTGTCGCTGATCGTAAGGCAAGCTACATGTTCCAAACCGAAGCTGCTGCTCGAGCGCGGGCTTGGGTCCCAATCCCAGCCCCTGAAGGCCCAGCTGCGACGACAACGGCTCCTGCCCGATGCTCACTCACAATGTACTCCGAGTCGCCCTGGCCAGAGGCTCCCAATCTCAGGAATCGCGCTCTTGCCCTAGACTTCCTGGCCCAACTGCGGTGGCAACGGCTCCCGCTCGATGCCTCCTCGCAACTTCCTCCGAGACGCCCTGGTCAGAGAGGCCCCCAAACTCAGGAATGGTACTTTCGCTGCGGACTTTCTCGCAATTCATGCAAGTCGGCGAAGGCGCAACTATGACAATTTTGGCTCCTGCGATAGTTCCACAAACTTTACTTGGAGACGCCCTAGCTGGAGATACCCCAATTTTGCACACTTCAGTTAAGTTGGTGGCTGCGACGACAACGGTTGCCGCTCGACACTTATCAACTTACTCCCACGAGCCCTGGTCGGAGGTGCTCTGACGCTCAGGAGAGGCGCTCTGTGGTGAGTGCTCCTTTCAGGAGCTGGCATGGAAAGAACCCCCGCCCCAAGAAGGGGGCTGTCTCGTGGACTTTGGAGGGCGGGCGCCAGGCTTGGGGGAGACACGGCGCGGAGGTCAAAACAGCATGTTGGGCTACGTGTTCGCAAGACTCATGAGGAGAAAACACACACATACAGACACAATTAGTCGTCGAATCCCAGGAGAAGATGGGAAAATATTGCAGGTGGGGGGAAGACGAAAACCCAGAAAATATAGGAAAATATGGGGAACCCTCTTATTTGTGTGTACTTATTGGAGAGGCCTGCCGGCCGGTGCCGCCGACCCTGATCGAAAGGGCTATGAGTGGGGGGAGGTAGCGGAGGATGAGGAGGAGGAGGAGGAGGAGGAGGAGGAGGAGGAGGATCAGCAGGAGGAGGAGGATGATGATGATGATGAGAGGAGGAGGAGGAGGAGAGGAGGAGGAGGAGGAGGAGAGGGAGGAGGGTGTATTTATTTGTGTGTCCTGGGGCCCCTTCAAGGATGGTCCTCGTCGTCGTCGTCGTCGTCGTCGTCGTCGTCGTCGTCGCTTCCCGCTGCCGCCGCCGTCGCCGCGGCCCGCGCGCGCGGCGCCCGCGGAGCGGCCGCCGTGGCGGCTCGCAGGGCCCGCGCGCGGGGCCTCCCCTGCCGCCTCCCCTGGCTGGGAGCGCCTGCCGCCGCGACGCGGCTGCGCATGGTGCCCTCCTCGGATCGGGGCGCATGGTGCCCTCCTCGGAGCGGGTGCTCTCCCTTCCTCTCCCTCCTCCTCTCCCCTCTCCGGGCCGAGGCCGCGTTCGCAGCTCTCGGCCTCCTCGGGAGGCCCTCGTCGGGCCCGGGCTCGTCCGGAGAGGAGAGCCGAGGAGGAAGAGCTGGGGCCGGGAGAGGGGGTCCAGATCTCCTGAGGCCCCTGCATCGAGAACTCAAGTGTCGATGCGGCGACGACCCAGCGCGGGTGTTCAAGGTTGAGCGCCGCCAGTTTCCGAGAATCGTTCAGTGTGGAACGATCTAGCGATCGAACAGCCGCCGATCGTGCAAGTTTGAGCGATCAACGTGGTGTTAGAGATCAATGCCGAAGCTGTCATGACACGAACCTGCCGCAGCAAGAGGGTCAGCCTTGACCCTCCCCTGGGTCCCCCCACCCCTGGTCCCCTCCCCCGTGCCCCCCTCACCCCGTCAGGGAGGGTAAAAAGAGGAGGGAATCGACTTAGCTACGATGCTTCTTTTCTCTGTTCGTTCCTTTTTCTTTTTGGGACTGGCGACGACGACGACGAAGACGACGGCAGAGTCTCACACGCGCAGAAGGGTCGGCCGATTCTACGTAGGTGCCGGGCCAACTGAGCGTGGCAGACAAGGAAGACATATCCCCCGACGGGGGCACGGTCGAATACGAAGGAGCTGTATCGAGGGTTTGGGGTATCTCCCACGCACCGGAAACAATTGAAAATAACAATAAAAACGATAGAAAGGCAAGAACAAACAAATCTCACGTACCGGAAACCTGGCCCTGGGGGGTCAAGGGCTAAAGACCACCAGGGGCACCCAGGGTACCTTGAGGTGCCCCCCTCTCCTTCTGGAGCCTCCTCGTGGCGTCCCGGGAGCTTCTCTGGAGCTTTCGCCGAAACCTCGGGACCCTCGGCAGAAGTTCGGGACGTCCCATGGCTGCCAGACTGCTCCAGGACGGCCTAAGATTACCCCAAGACGGCCCTGGAGGCTCCAAGACGCTCCAAGACGGCTCCGAGGGAACTCCCTCGAGGGCTCCGAGCGGCAACAACATCGGCCCATTCCCTGCTGGGAACACGCATATGTTGGGGCATATTTTTTTGGGGGGTCCCACCAGCGTCCCAGGCGGCTCCGAGAGGCCCCCGAGGATGCCCCAAGGCCGCCGAAGAGGCCCCCAAGAGACGGCCCAAAAGGCGCCCAGGACGGTCCAAAAGCGCATCCACGGGGCCCCGTGGCCCAAAAGAAGCGCCCCAGGCGCCCCCACGAGCGGCCCTCCGGTTGCCCTCGGCGCGAAGGTGGTCTGCGGGTGCTCCGCTTCTGCGTGTCCTTCAGGATGCCAGTGAGCATTGAGTGGTCCTGAGTAGAATCGCCACGTGTATAGAAAGGGTTTTGGTACGTCACAGGGTAATTGACAGGGAAAGTCTTCCTGCTCAAACCGTGCCCCTGGCCCCCCGGATTACAACAACAACAACAGCAACAACAACAACAACAACAACAACAACAATAATAATAACAACAACAACAACAACAACAGCAACAACAACAACAACAACAACAACGGCTCCCGCCTTAGACTTCCTCCAAATTTACTCAGGACCCCCCCCTCCCGTCTGAGACTTCCTCCCAATTTACTCAAGAACGGCGCTCCCGCTTGAGACTTCCTCACAATTTAGTCCGGGTCAAACTGCGTTGTTGATCCCCCGGACTACAACAACAACGGCCGCACCATTGAGGCGTCCCCCCTGGGGCCCGCCATGCTTCCCGGGGTTCGGCAAGCCGGCCCTTCAGCTAGCCAGGCCGATAGCCCGCGCGGCTGCCTCGTCGCCTGCCGGGGGCCAGCCTGTTGGCCCTTCAGCCCCTGCCCTCCTCCCTCCTCTCTCTCCTCCTTCCCTTCCTGCCTGCTTGCCTGCCTGCCTCCCTCCTCCTCCCCCTCCACCTCCTCCTCCTCCTCTTCATCTTCATGTTCATCCTCGTCCTCATCCTCCTCCTCCTTCCTCCCCCTTCCCCCTCCTCCTTCCTTTGGCTCCTGGCTCTCCCGCGTTACAGTGCAGGCGTGTTTGACTGTCGCTCGGAGCCCTGCGAGTGTTAAGACGCTTTTGAAGCCAGGGGCCCAGTGTGACTGACCCGTCGCCGCCCATGCTCCAGGCCCGCGCCTTAGCTGCTGAGCAGTTCGGGTGGCGTAGCCAATGGGGCGGGGGGGCTGCTGGGGTGCTGCTGCTGCCGACGGGGCGGTGGGGAGTGGGTCCACCTTCGAATGTCACGGCCATGAGGTCTCGCGTTCGGGGCTATTTTTGTTGTTGTGTTCGATGTGGGGCTCGTGTGGCCATCGGTTCTACCAAAATCGATGCCATTTGGGAAGTCTGCCCCTCGCGCCCCCGAGCCCCGCCTGCCGTAGAGCCAGGGACCGGCTGGTCGACGAGCAGCACCTGGCAAGTGGAGCTGGGCGCCCAGCCCCCACAAGGTGGGAATGCCTTGCTCCACCTGTAGCTGAGATAGCGTTGGGTTCCGGC